CCTATCCCTTAACCCAAAATCTGTGATAGGTTTGCAAGCTGAAGGTGTCAATCGGCGAGCCAGGCGAGTTTCGTACTGTGCCAAAATTTTATTTGTGGCAAAAAGTCCTTGAAAGCCACTTCACTAGGATCAGTTTTCAACGAGGAATTCGAAAAATTTAATTGTAAGAAGTAAAAACATAAGCGGAAAAAATTGTACGTCTTTTTTTTAAAAAGAAGGATTTTTGGGCTTTTTCGACCTATTCTCAATACTTCGCATTTTTCTCCATATAAATTTCACTTTTTCGAGCTGGGAAGGTGATATTCGTGATCAGCTCGACCTGGCGATTCAGAATATGTATAATAAAGCACAAAACAAATTTCACTCGAAGTTTGCTTTGCGTGCATCTTACTAACAGCCAGATTAGCTAAGTGGTTGGTGACAAAGCTGCTGCTCTGAAAGACTTAGGTTCAGACCCTACATTTAGCACTGTTGCTGTTCGTTTTCTTTTCTTTCTAGACTAGAAACAGTTTTTAGACCATTCAAAACGACAGGGCCTTAAAGCGAGATCGTCAAAACTGTCAAAAATGACCTAAAAATAGCCAGTAGGAAAATGACTGTAAAATAGCCTCTCGTCAATTGGCAATTACCCTAGGGGGAAAAGGCGGCGCCGGGAGCTTTCCGGAGCCCATGAAATGCTTTCCGGGGCTTGAGATGCTTGGTATCGGATGCTCTCCGATGCTAAGAAAGAAAAAGTGGCCTTTTCCCCTTGCAATTACCCGACGAGCGGTTAATTGTGACCGTTCTCAATGTCTAGGGTACATAAGTTAGTTGTCACTGTCTTTTTTCTTTTTCTTTCTATATTTTAGTACAAATGTCAACGGACTCGTTTCCACTGGTGGAATTTCCACCAATAACATTTCGTTGTGATCGATCGTTTATTTATATGATTCGAGAACATAGCTCTTCAATTACATTATTTCAAGGACGATTTATTAAACCGTAGTCAAAACACAACGACATTTTTTTCAAACAAACAAACAATTATTTAAATCTTTTCCGACTTTAACTGTATCTTTTGTGTTATAATTTTTTCGATTTTTCGCTAATTTTTTCAAAATAGAATGCTTAGACTTATTCTTTTTGAGGGTGTTCGTTTGTTATAAACTTTTTTTTATTAAAAACATGAAACATGTTACAAGGAATAAAATCGCAGTGAGATTTGCACGATATCGCTCAATTCCGGATTAACTTTGTAAAAAACGACAAAAAGCAAGAAAAATAAACAAGAACAAGAGAAATGAAAACAAAGTAACATAATGCAACGAAGAGATAAGAAGGGAAGGATCGAGGAATATATACTATACACCAGATGAAAAGTATCTGGAGATAGAGCTTAGTGTGTTAATAATTTTAAAGTGTAGCATTTTTGAGTTTCGGTTTATTTATAAAAAATAAAATAAGAATAGGAACAAGAGAGCACTTTCCAGAAGTCATTATAAAAGGAGTATGTGTACACAACCCAATTGATTCTGTCAGTTTCAGACATGGAGGAGCACACTGCATTGTGAATGATTTTTACCTTGCTTTTATCATCAACAATTTTTAAGCATTGGGATTGTGTTGACATTGGCCTTAACGTCCAGTTTTCACTATCTATCATCTACTTGTGGCTACTAAAATGTAAATCAATCAATCAATGTCCTTGTTCACTAACATCTGCAATAGTAAGCTGGATATCTAAAGAAAAAATGGTTAAAATCTTCTATACTTCTAGCTGAACGTTGCTGACTTTTTCATAGGAAATCGCAAGGCCAAAAAATCTACTTTTGAGGTATACAATAATTCCTGGTCGGGTTATCGAACTATTCGTTCGTGAATGTTAAAAAAAATTTTTGCAATTCAATAAAAAATAACTAACACACATGCGTTGAATTGAATTTAAAATCGAGTTTTAAGACTTTCAAAAATTCCCTTGATCATCCAGTGTCAGAATTTGGTATTGAACAACTTTTGTTTCTAAACTTTTCTGCTAAAATGCTTCTCTAAAGTGAAATTTGGTTCAAGGCTTTCTTTAAAATACTTTTTGCACCATAAATGGATCGAGTGATTCAAACTCAAATTACTCAACCGGATTTCGTTCGGTAACGATGAAAATTTTCTTGTAGATAAATGTAGACATGCTCTATTGATCGACAACAGATTCAGACTTTTGTCTGAGAAAACGAAAATTTTATTTAAATTTGAATACAGGGAAAATAGCGTTAGGACTTCTCCTAAAAGTTGTTTCTGCTGGTAATCCATGGCTAGTGCACATATACTCAAAATACTCAAATATTGGTTCAGTGTACTGTGCGGTAAATGACTATGAAAAGGCGATGGAGCACATGAACAGCCCCCATGTTTGTAGTTATTCGTTTCCGTTCTAATTCGAGAACTGAAACCAAGGTTTCCGTTTCAGCCCGCAATTCTCGGTTCCGGAACTCAGAATCAAATATCCCTACTACCGAACGCGTTCGGCAGTAGGGATATTTGATTCTGAATTGCTGTTTTCTAAAAATTAATCTAACATCTCGAACGAAGCTGAAGAAAAGTGACTACTTTTCATATTCGTTTAATAATACTTTAGCCTTGTCAATGTGAATAGGCACAACAAAAAATTTCATTGCATTTTTTTTTTTTTTTGTAAACTTGTTTCTTATTTATTTAACGCCAACTGGAAAAAAAAAGTACAAAGCTAAGAAGAGCAGGCAAGTCGAAGTAAGATCATTATATGCCTGGATCTATTCGACAAAATGAGACATCGATAAAACAGATAAGAGAGTAAAAGAAAACAAAAAAAAATAAAAAAATAAAAACTGAGAGAGATGGTGATGAGAGAGATAGAGAAGTTTAAGTAAGCAGAGAGAACTTCATCCGCGTGACACTGTGTAAGAACAAACAATACAGAAGCGTCAAGTCAATCAAAGCGTTTCGTTAAACGAATATATCGAAGAATAAAATTAAAAACTGATAGTAGGTCATCTCTATTCAATGTACGGATAGAGTGATGGTGGAGAAGTATGTGGTCTAAAGTGATAGAAGAATTTATAATACTGCGTATCTGTTGAAACATTCCCTGCCGCTGCTCTTCATAATCAATACACTCGAAAAAGAAGTGTTTTACTGTTTCCTTATCAGTGCCACACTTACATGCCGAGGACTGTGCTAAGACATGAGTGAAAAGAGGTGCATTTAACGGAGGAAAACCTAGTCTACAACGTGTATGGTGAATTTCAAGAGAACGGTCCTGCACTAAAGGAATATGAAAGGGTTGAACATATTGAGAAGTTAGGTAACATTTAAAGTCTTTTAGACGGTGCAACTGTTTAGCATTGTCGTGCAGCGTATTCCAGTGTCGACTGTCTTCACGTATGAATGTTTTTTCGACAAGAGCACGACCTCGAAAAAAAATAGGCGCATTTTTAATAGCAGAGCTCCTGGTGTTATAGGTGTGGTGATTGCGATTAGAACACAACTCAGTAAGATAAGGAGGCACTCGACATTACATCTAGTATCCGACTTGATGAAGCTTCCACAAATGTTTACCTATATCAACTTTAGTATTGTCCGAAAAGTTTGTTTTGTCTCTCGAGACAAAATCTATTAGCTCCGAAGTCTGTGAATCTATTCATGCATTAAAAAACTGATAGTTTCAGGTGAACAGAAAGCCTGACCGTTCAGGGTTCGAACCTTATTTAAGTCTTACATCTTATATGAGACTTTTATGTTACTTTCAGCTCTTAGCCGACGATTGAATGTTTTTGTGTCGAGAGACCTCACTATTAAGTTTGAGAATGTTCAAAAGTGGCTGTGCTAGTAAATCCTGGGCAGAACAAGATGAACTTACATAGTATGTAAAAGGATAGTCTATGTGTATAGATTAGATGGGTCAATAGGATAGAGCAAAGTGTGATGAATATTCTTTTCATTATCGCGAGTTCGATTCTCGCTTGAATCTTTTTATCTTTTTGAACAAGTTTTTTATCATTAATCATGTGCGTTAATATAGAAGAGCTCTCACCATCATTGATCTCGTGCATGCAATATTTGCTCCCATACTGAAGTAACAGCTTTATTATATTAAGAAAGTTCTTTACTATGAATTTGAGCTCTTAAAATACGGTTGAGTAAATTAAGCGTAACAATTTTTCTTCGAAAAGCCTTGAGTAACCCAATAGCAAAATTTAGACTATGGACAAAAGAAGCAGGCGAAAAAAAACTGAGCGACATCAGCGATCAACCATGATCGCTCTCCACTTTAAAAAGAAACAGAAAAGTAATTCTGATTCATCAAATCGGATCATATCTATTCATCTTAATTGAAAATGTATATATTCAGGTTGAAATCATCAGTCTAGAGCTAGCCATATATTCTGTGATTCTTAGCAGAGCCAACTTCCGTAAACATTTGAACGAACAACAGTGTAATAGCAATACATTATAGTGATAGGGCCTCATTGTGTAATAAAACTAGCAGTTCACACGTATGACAGGAAATGATTTATATTTATAACGTATCTGAATATCATGTTCAGGTGGTGCAATACCGACACCGACACGATATCGACTCTGTTTAGGATGGTCATTCACGTTAATAAATTTATAATCAATATATTTCAATATCATTGCTGTGCATATTTTTATTTCATTTCGAAGAAAAAATCTTCCTGGGCACATACTCTTGCCATAACCAAATGGTAGAAATCCAATTGAACCGATTTTTTCTTGTTCGAATTCTAAATTTGCTAGCATATATTGATTGCCCAGAAAACGATCATATTTAAATTCAAATGGTTCGGGATATAGACGATGATCATAATGGGATGCCATTGGATATAGAGAAATTGCACCTCCTTTTTCAATTGTCAATTGACGTTGATCATGTAACTGAATCTGTGTTTGATTACGACAATATTTTAACATTAGTGGACTGGAAGCCATTCGTAAGGTTTCAGTTACAGCACTATCTAGTTTGGAACATTTTGCTAACATTTCTGATGTCCATAATTCATTATCCGGTAAATAGAGTTGAATTTCTTGTTGAATATCGTCAAGTGCTTTTTGATCGCGTAGAATATAGTATAATGACCAAAAAGTAGCTGGAATTGTATTGCCAAGCGATGCCCAAAACATTCCAAGATTCATCGATCCAACATCGTTGTTTGAAAACCATTCTGGATGGGCGTGCATTGAATCTAAGCGGTGTTTCATAAATTCACTTTCATCATTACAATGTTGGTTTAATGAAAATACTTTCATTAAGGATTGACGTGCTTCCAGTGCTTGTGAGAAAAATAAAGTATAAATAAATTTGGGTAAGAGTGCGAAAAAATAATGAATTTTGTTATCAAAGATTTTAAATTGTTTTTCAAATTCTAATGGTTTTATATCACCAAACAATGCGCGAGTTGATGCTTCGTAAATCATTAGATGGCTTAATTCTAACAAACCAGAATATTTCCATTGATCGTTCTCAAATGTGTCTTTATCGTTTAACATCGACTGTCGCAGATATTTAACGAATTGTTGTGTTAGTTCATTGAGACCATTATTTTGTAAATACCTGGCGTACAGTCGGTGTTCTTCATCATGATATTCTTTATGATTAAAATTGTTTGCACTCATACCAAATATTTTAATTCCAAGATCGTCACCTGGAAAATAGAAATTTGAATTTCGATAAACTGTTGCCCAATCACGTGGATCTGTTATGAAGATTATACGTTTTGATGGCAGCTTAATTTGAAATACTGATCCGTAACGCTGACGACAATCAAGAATAAACTTTGATTGATTAAATATGAACGATAGAAGATGGCCAATAATTGGATAACAACTTGAAACAACTGGAATCGATTGGTTAATGACATTTTTCTTTTTGTTCTTAATCAATATAAGTGAAGCAAGAATTAATACAGTTAATGATAGTAATAGTAATGTAAATAAGTCAACCATTTTTATTAGTCTCACTACTGAAATTCACGTTTTTATAAGATTTTTTCTAGTGCTAAAAACATTGTCGTTATTATCTTTTTGCTTTTACCTTTTACTGCAAGCAAAAAATAAAACAAATATGGTTATTTTCATATTACATGCGCGCATAGTAGTGAGGGCACCGATAATAACAACCGCTTTCAGAAAAGAATAGATAAAGAAAAAAAATACTTCAGACACACATTTTTTGTAATTTTTCTAGCTTTTTTTAAACTGCGTAGCATTGAGCAGGTAAAATAGAGTATATCCTGACATTCTGACCTAATTTGGATGGATTGTGACTGGTGATTATGAGTTTTTTAATTTTACCCAAAAATAGGCAAAGATGGGTTATTTCACCTAATTTAGATTTTCACTATGTTTTTGAAACTTTTTTGGAAAACAGATATTGTCACAAGATTCAGTGTGGTCGATTACCATTGTTTCCATTCCTTTACCACACCTAAAGAACTATTAATCCTGGGACTCTGAGAAAATCCGATGCGACACCTGAACCAGGAAAAATTAAGAGTCTGCTTAGTTCGCATTGCGGAGACGACACTTCGACCTATATACCTCTGAAGAAAAACTAGTAGATTGCTATCTCAGTATCTGGAGATCCGAATTGGTTTTCAAAAGACCTCCCAGAAAACTGATCTACTGAATATTAGTGGAAAAGGATTCGGCTTATGAAAACATAGGGAAAACTGTCGTCTTTCGATTGCTGAAAACTCCAGATCTCTATCTTTTATCGTCTTTGAGTTATTCAGGAAACAATCACCGACACATTTTGGCGCCGGTGATATCCTCTCTAATTCTGTCACTCCTTTGTACAAAACGCCGCGCTCTACGAATTTCAGACCGGTTAGTACATTTCAGCAAAATGAGGAAATTTTGTTGCACTCAAACCTACCTTATTTTTTTATTCCACTTTATTCTTAAGTGTGTTTTGTAGAAGCTAAGTGATAATGCTATGTCCAGTTTATTCCATAAAATATTAACACGTTTACTAAACTCGTTAGTGCCTGCTCCAGCTTCTCTCTTTTCTGCATTCCAGATCTCTTTTTCTATTTCATCATTTGGCTCTTGTTCTTTCTTCACAGCCGTCGCACCAACATCCACCAGTTTCTTCAGAGCCAACAATGTAATAACGCTCTTTCTATGAGATTTAAAAATAGCTTTATCCTTCAGTTTCTCTTCCAGTTTTGTCACTGTAAACAATGCACAATTTGTCTTATACTCATCTTGATCAGACGGCATGTTTTGCTGTTTCAACAAAAATAGAACTGAGACAATGTATGAAAAAAGCAACTGGTGAATGATTAAAAGAGTACTACAGATGGCTCTTCATTTCAAATTGGTGATGTGTTTGGAACCTATTTATCTTTCAAACTGAAACTGGAACAATATTCCGAACAAACTGAAGCCGCATTCGAGTCACTGACCCTGCTAAATTAAAAGGAGAATCAGAAATGGTTTATCGGAAAGTATTATTTAATTATTGTCATGATGATAAAATACGACAAAGGAGCAAGCGAATAAGACTACATCACCATCATATGTCATTAGACGGCAAGTAAAAGTTCGTTTGTATAATACTGATAATGAATTAAAAATTACAATGTTACAGTTGACACACCATCATAAAATCGATAAATCATATTAAAATATTATCCTCGTACGATTTGATGAAAAAACGATTGAACAAATTAAATATTTTGATTCTCATAAAGTACCATGTAGTATCATTCACAATATGATTATGGATGAGAATAAACTGAAATTTAAAACAACATTAAACAACTGTCCAACACGAGAAACAGCTGTTCGTAAATTGTTAAACGAAATGAAATTGTCAGATCCAGTCGAAGTAAATGTATCCCAAGAGAATAATGCACTCCAGGTGATATATGTTGCCTCAAAATCAATGAAGCAAAATTTTAAAAAATTCGGACAAGTAATCTTTTTCGACGCCACATATAAATTAAATTTAGAAAATTTCTCGCTATATGTTTTTTTAGTTGAAGATAGCCTAGGAACAGGTCAGTCATTTTCCTGGTCGTTAAATGTCATCATGTGCTTTATTCTTCTCAGGACAATCAGTTGCCATTGGTCTATTAGGCAATGAAAGTCATGAATCATATCATGAACCGAGAGACTCACTCATTGCCTACATTCGACGCTCAGTCTTTAGAGAGCGTGAATAGTTTGATTTTGGTCGACTAGAAAAAATCTCATGTTATCAATGTCGTCCAATGTGCCACCATCGCTATTTACAATTCATCGTACCGTACATTCACGTGGCAGACCAAGAAAATCACGTAAACATACACAATTTTACAAAAAATATGCTAACGGTAGCACATTGGAAAATATCAACCTTTTTATTATCTGTTTTTCTGGGGCTTTCATAACACGATGTTTGCGTTGGTGACTCTGCTTTCAGCCTTAAAGGGACACTGATAACATGAGATTTTTTCTAGTCAACCAAAATCAAACTATTCACGCTTTCTAAAGACTGGGCGTCGAATGTAGGCATGTACTGGAAGTTCTTTTTAATTCTGTTAATTAATTTTTGCAGAAGCATGAGTGAGTCTCTCGGTTCATGACTTTTCTTGACATTCCAGAAGTGCGGAGTCAACATCTTTGCTAACAAATTATGTATTACACAAGTCTATCCAACTTTTCTTTACGGTTCTCAAGCATAGATCCTTTCGTCCACTGGCCCAAGACGAATGAATTTTCTTAAACTCTTCCAGACGTTTGAAAAATTCATGCGTCACCAACTGGGTTAAATATCCATTGATAGAACTAAAAGTGTTCCACACTAGACGATTTTTTTCAGCAATAGTTAGACTAATACGGGTATCATTTGTATTCATTTCATTGCTGTCATCATCAAAATCTGACTGGTTGTCGGTTGCTTCCTTAGAATTATTTTGGTTATTTGTTGTTGCATCAGTTTGTTGAATCGGATCAAATGAAATGTCAGTGGTATCGGAATCCACCGTTCAGCTATCGTCGTATCATTTAACATAAATTGGTCAATATGTTCCACATAAAATAATATATATAAGCAAGGTGAGGACATGATATAATTATAATAACAAGTACACATTTTTTGTTGTTTCTTTATTTGTATATTTTAGTTTTTGATAAATTTTTTATCATCACTGTATCAAATCAATTGGTTATTCACAAATTTGCAAGCAAAATCTAAAGCAAACGGTATTAAGCGGAGAGATTCCGGTAATAACTTCGTGTGAAACGTTTCGCTTACCGCTTAATATTTTCCCACATTCCGTCATAAATTGAGAATGTTTGGAATTGGCTATTTGAAAATGACAACTGTTGACGAACATTTTGGTATTCTTGTACATCCGATTGAAAATTTAGTAATGACATTAATATAGATAATACTTTAGCTATATGAGGAATCTTGCTGCGCTGGTGAAATTTATACTTAACGACTCTGTAAAAGCTTTCAATTCGATTATTCCTATTGTTCAATAATGTTAATATATTTTACGTTTATAGAACCATAAATCCTTACAATTTAACCAATTATCACAAAAATAGTTCCAGTAATCAGTTACCGACGATGACTCTAATTTACGTACATTTACGTTCGCTTGAATAGATGACATTTTTGGTTAACTTAAGAATTGCTTTTTTTGTTTCTATATTAATGACCAGTTTAGCAATATGTTCCTTGAGCCTTTTAATTACATGAAAATAACAACGGTTTTTAGTAAATCACAAGTTGTGAAAATTTCCTTTTGACTGGAAAAAGTGCCAGGTTGAAGAATATTCGATTGGTTGATATAATCAGAAGGATTCAAACTGCTACCGTGATTGCTATAATCTGCATTACGAATTTGCTCGACAACAAGATTTCGTAAAAGCAGATGATAATCTTCACTTCCAGTCAGTAGATAGCTTAAGCTTCTAAAATGACATAAAATTCATCACATATCGAGGTTTTTATGTAAAGCTGAAAATCTCAGTAAACAGGACATTTCTGTTCACGACTACGTTAGAAGATCAGATACTTCTTTCCTCGCAACAAGGCGAGCTTCTTTTGCAAGAAATGGTTGAATGTTTTGTATTTTAACGATGAATTTTAACCCGTTCTTTTCTCGGAAAAAACGCTAAAAAGTTGTACTGTTATTCATCAAGTGTAACTAATAGAACTGTTGTTTTCAATTGTGCTGATCAGCTGTTTAATTGAAGTTAGAATTGATATTTTGATGGCTCGCAAAGAGCAAGTAGTATAAAATTAAGGTTTACCTAAATAAACAATTTCCATCTGGAATAATGTTGCTGGTGGACGATGGTTTAGTATTGACTGTTATTTCCCGTGTTTCGCTAAATGACTGGAGTTTGAAATTATGCAAATTGTTTCTTATTTATGCAATCATTCAATCAGCGTTTTTTCCGAGAAAAGAATGGGTTAAAATTCATCGTTAAAATACAAAACATTCAACCATTTCTTGCAAAAGAAGCTCGCCTTGTTGCGAGGAAAGAAGTATCTGAAAAAACTATTTTGATGTAATACAGAATGAGGCTAGCGGAAAAAGCTAGACTATTGATAAGATGCATATCCGATAATCACGATATTATTAAAACTTTTTTTAATGAGCTGACAATTATACAGGAGATTTTCCCGTTGACAAACATCATGCTTTGTTATTTCTCTTGTCATTTTCTTTTGCATTTTGTTGGCCGACCGTCATCCATGTACAATTGTTACACCTTAGATATTTTTCTTGTATGAAATAGTTCCGCAGACATTTTCTGCTACTTTCCACAAAAAAATTGCTTGACTACTTCGGCGGGATGATTTATTGAGAAGAAAGTTTCAGTCAATTAATTCATATAGGTTGTATTCAATTTACTTTTCTTTTTGCTTGTTATCATGTTTTTAATTACATTATGTAGTTCATGTTTTTCTTCATTTTGCTTCAAGATGTCCAACTCCT